TTCTTTTCTTCTGGCAGCTCTGTGCATGCACACATTGGGAACAGGCTCCAGCTGTTCCTCTGTCTCACTGCTATCTATCTCCAAAGGCAGCTGAGAACTGCCAGACAGCCTTGGCCCCATCACTGCCTCCGACGCAGAGCCCTTGTTCGAGCCTTCCCCAGCCTCCAGGACTGGCCCATGTTCCTCCCCAACCTCTTCACTGTCTGTCTATGCTGCCAGCTCTGCTGGTGGGCCACAATACTAAGAGAATGGTTTACTTCTGCTCAGATGCGTTACTGCTAAAAGATGATATATGAGTTTATAGTTCACAACTCAGATTTTGACTCGCCAAACTACAATGTAGAAATAAGTTCATCTTTACCTGTATGTAATAAAGAAAATGTACTGACAAGAAATATAAAAGATGATGACACCTCCCTACAGCTTTGAATGTGAAGGGGACTCACCTACATATTCATCCATATTGAAGGTTTTCACATATTTGAAAGAGAGATCTCCATTCTTACAGTATTCAATCAGTTTTTTGTAACATCCTAATGGGGTACTTCCTAGAAAGCAAAGGAAGCAATACACCATCCATGAAAACAAAGGTTGTACTACACAAAAGGCATTTATTTAACTGACAACTGCAATGGTTAATGTGACTACAGAAACAATGGCCCACACATGCTCTTCAGCTCAGCGACAGCTTCATCAAGATCTTCAAAACTGCAACAGCCTTCACTGCCACTGACCCTTTCTTTGTGGTTAATGGTGAAGCATTCTTCAGAGGATTGCTGATGAATGCATGTATTCATCATGTAATTCATGAAATGAATATAATTTTTTAAATATCTCCTATGGAATGATGTAGGAGACAGGAATTTGGGATCAGTGTTCCTACCTAATGAGTTCTTTACTATGCAAACGATAAATGGCCAAATGTAGAAACAAAGGTATGATTCAATACTACAACACAAGAGAATAGATTAAAATAACAGGTAGTGGCAAAGGACGCAGTGATCCAGAAACAGAGAGCCAGAGAAAAAATAATCTCATCCTGTTTCTTAGTTACAATAAATCTTATTCATCTGACAGTAAACATCAGCACAGGGACCCCCATTCCCTTCAACAACAACCAATGAAATGAAACAACAGTTAATGTCTAGAATTAAATTATTAGATTTTAGGGAAGATGTTTGGTGCAGTAGTTAAAGCATCAGGTTAGAAACCGGGAAACCGGGAGTTCTAGTACTGCCTTAGCACAATGTCAGCTGGGTGACCTTGGGCCAGTCACTTTCTCTAAGCCCTGGGAAAGGGGCAATGACAAACCAATTTTGAAAAATCCAAGAAAACTACAGAGCTTGGTCAGTCAATCACTGTAAATCAGACATGATTGCACATTAAAAAAGAAAGAAAAAGGAAAATTTAAATTATGCCTCAATATGATGTCTTTGTTGGAAAAGATAAGCACATGCATTTTGTAAAAGAATATGTTTCATTCCAACTCAATTTCCAGTCAGTAACACAAAGTATGGCTTGAGGTAAATTATTAAATGTTATGGAGAAAAAAGCGAACATGTCACAGGAACAGTGGAGCTTTGTTGGGAATAGTGCATTAAAAATTAAATTAAAAAGGCATCTAATTCCATCTACCATTATAGCAATGCAAGCATTGTTATGACGATGAAAATTGTATGGACTATTAATACAGAGGCTGGATGTTTTATTTTTTACTATTTTAGTGATGTATCAAACTGTAGTGTCAAAAAATATGTAAAGTCTGCTCAGCCCATTAGCAAAGTATCTAGCCAGACTTGCTACAGGCATCTAAATGTGAGAATGTTCATGACAGATTTGTGTAGTCTAGAAGTAAAGTGTATAAAAGTCTGCTGAATGTGTATCCCAATTAAATGTCCACGTGTTCAAACAAAATTGCAAGCTCTTGATAATTATTTCCATGTAAAGTTTTTTCTTCTAAATTTGAGAAAACAAACTGCCTTCCAAAATATTAGTCACCTAATAATCATTTATGACAAACATCCTGTGTAAAGAATGACAGCTTGATCATAATACCACCAAGACAGTCTTTTATCTGAATTACATCAGAGTAAATTATGACTCCATAGCTCACCTCCTATGAACTGAAGTTTGTAACTTACCAGTGGGAAGTCCAAGAGTGAAATATTTATTTGGTCCTGGATTAAATTGGATTATTCTGTTCCTAATGTACTTTGCAGCCCATTCACTGGCCTCATTGTAATTTTCTAGAATAATAAGCTTCATTGTAACCTGCAATTTTGAAAGAATGTTCAGATTATACATTTCACTTGTAAGCTAAACAACATGTGAAGGCAGGATTGGCTATTTATGTAGATATAAACATTACATTTATGACCACGATTGAGCCCAAAATTTCTGTTGATAAGTAAAACATTTGTTAAGTGAGTTTTGCCCCATTTTATAACTTTTGTGCCACAGTTGTCAAGTGAATCACTGCAATTGCAAGGTTAGTAATGCGTTTGTTAAGTGAATCTGGCTTCCCCATTGACCTTGCTTGCCAGAAGGTTTGCAAAAGGTTCTCAAATGATCCCAGGACATTGCACCATCATAAATATGAGTAAGTTGCCAAGTGTCTGAATTTTGAGCATGTGACCATGGGGGTACTGTATGTGTAACAAATGTCTGTAAGTCCCTTTTTTCAGTGCCGTTGTAGCGTGGAACAATCACTAAACAAACTATTGTAAGTTGAGGACTACCTATACTGTCTTCAAATAGTATTCTATCTAAGAGCTTCTTACTCCCCCAAATACTTGACAGATGTGATCATTGTTCTGAAAAAATTAAAGAGCAGCACAATGTTATTTGTGAAGGATCCCTGAGTTTAGTTATTTTACTACAGATTTTTCATTACCCAAACTAGGTAACATCAGTGCTACTAGCGAGTGGAGTTTGCTTTTATTTTATATTCTAATGCAGGGGTGCCAAACTGGCAATCCACAGACCAGATGCATCACGTGCAGGCCACGTCCACCATGCTCCACAAAGGCAAAAATAATAATGTCGTGATATGTCACGTAACATCACATGATGTGATCAAGTTTGACAGCCATGCTCTAATAGCTTGCCCTTTCAGTGTAAATGGGAGTGGTTCTTTGGTTGGGTTGTTTACCATGAGCTTCTTTGGCAGTTCCTTACTTTGTGTATGATTTGCTTCTTGATTGTTGGTCTTATGTTAATCTTGGTGTTAATATCTGCTCATCTGGGTGTTGATTGCTGATGAGGAAGTGTTCTGGTCTTTTTGTTATTATGTGCAATTTTAATATGCTACAACTTGTCTCCTCTTCCCTGTAATTAAGATTCACACTTCATACATTACACAGAATGGACAGTGCTCCTTGAACACTGGAGCCATAAAAATCCATTGGTTTTTAGCAATATCATCCATACTTCTGTGACTTTTGCTGCAAATTCAGACCTTACAGCTACCATCAGCATTCGTTAAATACCACACTTCCATTCATAAATGAATGGGTTAGAAAAGCAGCAAAGTCTTTTATGCAATGAGTCTGGTTAAGTTGATTGTAAAAGTTGCTGACATTGTAACAGTGCTATAGTATCCAAAAATATCAAGCATAAATGGTGCTATGGTATCCAGAAATCAGAAGGGGTCTGGCAGCACTTTAGACTGAAACTGGAACATATTAATAAGTTTTTGGGATCAGAAGCATGGACAGGTAAACTGAGGTAGGATTTTAAATTGAGCAATGGTGAAAGAGAGAGAAGAGACGGTGGTTATTTATACATCTGAACTACACAGTTGTTTTTCTGTGTCATTGATGTGGTATATGCATAATTTTGTATTTATTTATTTATTTATTTATCCATGGTTATGTAGTGAATATAGGAGGTGATGACCCTTTGAGAGCTGTATGCAAAATTTCATTGTAATTTATGCCGATTAGTGTACATTCAAAGTGACAATTAAATTTTTATTCCTATTCCTTTTGCATTCCGTTCTATTCTATTCTGTACGTCGCTGATTATCAGCATTTTATCAATGGAAAGATGTTATGCGTTAACCACTGTTCCTTCTAAGGTGCGCGGCTGTGTGGCCGCGCACGTGGAAAGAAACCCCCGCGCAGCAGTTTCTAACTGCCGCACAGAGATTTCTGTAAAGCAAACGTGGGGAAGTCCTTTGCAGGCGGCTAGAACTGGCCACCTGCAAAGGACCTCCTCACACTTGTTTTGAAGAGCACGGCTCTTCAAAGGGGGATTCCTTCCTGTAAGACCCCGTCCAGAAAATGCGGGGAGTGGCAGCGGAGCCCCGGGGCTGCTTCTGCTGCAACCGCTGGACTGTGGGGCTGGGAAGGGGGCGGGAAGAGCGGCGGGGCTGGCGGTGGCCGGCGGTGGCAGGCTGGTTCGCCTCCTCCTCCTCCTCCAACAGCACTGCTGGATTTCTNCTTCGCGCATCCTTCGTTCCTTCCCCTGCTGCTGCCTGCAAGGAACATCTGCCGAGGAAATTGGAGGAGGAGGAGGAGATACCTCGGATGATTCTTCCCTCGTAGGATCTCCGACGCGCTGGTCTTATTTCACTTTGGACACCAGCAGAGATGGATAATTCGCTCTCCGTTTAATGCAGAACTGCCTTCGCTTTTTTTCCTCCCCTTCTCCATTCCTGGCTGGTTTTTTTCTTCTTCTTCTTCTGATGGATGCTTTTCAAACGGAGGGAATTCTTCCCTCCTCCTCTTCCTCCTCTCTCTTTTGCTTGAGTTAGTGTCTTGGCATCTTTTGGCTTGAGGATCGAACGCAACTTTTTTTCCCCCTTTTTTGGTGGGGGATTTGTTTGTATTTTGGCCCAAATCATAAGTATAAGAAAAATCCCTAAAACCTGGTCAGCGTGGAGAACTAAAACAGCCCGACTCCAAAGGAGGAAGGAGACCGAAGTGGGGACCTAAGTGTGGGATTGTTGCTGGTTTTGGACTGGACCCAAATATCCGTAGGTGTGTTTGGAAATAATGGAGAATAATCTTGGATCTGTTTGGCTACCCAAGCTGGCTTTTCTGCTGTTTGTGGTCTCGCTCCTCACGCTGGATCTTGAAGTCACCGGTAAGTCGTCTCTGGGTTTATTTTTATGCGCTCTTTTTTTTCTTTTTTTGGGGAATTTCGTGGATTGGCGAGAAGAATGGCTTTGGAGAAAAGGTTGGCAGGTTGGCGTAAGGCGTGCTTTGAGTTGCTGAGAGCTTCCCCCTCGGTCTTGAAAGGGAGAAGACCAGAAGTCTACCATCAAAGCACAACTAGAGCGAAAAGCCAAGATGGGTTGGCGTTCTTTCTCGGCTTGGTTGTTTCTAATCTTCTGGAGCTTCGGTGACCGGTAGCTTTAAGAGTAGAAAAGGGTCGAGGATTTTGGTCTTTGTTCTTGGAAAAGATCGCCTGTCGATCTGTAGTTTGCATGCACGGTGCTTCCTAACTCCCCTTTGAGTGATACGGGGGCACACCTCTCTCTCTCTCTCTCTGCAGTTGGTAGACACATTTTCTAATTAAAAAGGAGCAAAGCTCATTGTACGGAGTTGGGCTGGAGAAGGCGGCGAGAGAAGGCGGAATTGATCAGGGCTTGAGTTTGGCGTCTCCTGGAAAAATCAGCCAGAGCCGGGCATGAAACAGTAGAATTTTTTTGGGGGGGAGTGAAGTTGCGCCATTTGATAAGAGAAGGGATAGGTTGGCTTCCGTGATCGACAGCAGCCATTCATTAACGGGCCGTCTCAGGACAAGTCTACCACATCTCACCCAACCTGAGCATGCCATGTAATGCCCTCTGTGACACGGGCGAAACAATGCATGCTGTTTTTCTCTGCCTCCTACCAATGCCCAGGCAGACGCAGTTGGCCCAGAAATGCAGCATTGGAACCCATGTGCCACAGCAGGGACAATAATAAAGTTTACTCGAGGCTCGCCGTTGTTGAACTGCGCATGAATGGAAACCTTTGACGGGTTTTTTGCAAGGGGCTAACAGGTGACTGGTGAAAAGGTTGCTCCTTATGAAACACGGGAAGGCAGGCTTCGCCTTGGTCCCTGCGGTAGACTGGCAGCGTGAATTGCAACGCTTGTGCTGGGCTTATGCATAGGGTTCTCCCTGGAAATCCCAGGCTGACCAGGCAGCTCCCACCTGGGGGGATAATGGCCCTGCCAAAGAAGGAGGGGGGGAAATGTCTGCTGGCTCTGCGTTGATGCCCGTGAAAAGCCACGAGTCGAAATGAAATCAGGGGACGAGCATCAGATTCAACTTGTAGCGATGCTGAAGAGCGCAGGGAGGTTTGGGGGCTTCTATCCGTGGTCTCCCTTTTTAAGGGTGGAGGGCGAAGGTTGGTTCTCTTTTAGCTGCCTGCAATTCATTTGAGCGGCAGCTTGCACACTCTCTGCCACGGTTGCAAAGCCTTTGTCAGCTTTTATGTCAGTGGCAGGCTTGGAATAAGCCCCCCCTCCCCCCCAGGGGGAATTCTCGCCTGATACAATTGGACAAAGTTTTCTTTTTCGTCTGCATTTCACCTGGCAGCAAGACTCCCTGTCTCTTTCATTCTCTCTCTTTCTTTTTCTTTTTGCAAAAAAATAATTGTTGTTTTATGTCCCTTTTGGGGGGGGGAGGGGGATAGGGAGGGACGGTGAGTTAGATTGCCTTTAACTTGAAGCCATTTATCTGTTGGATCTCTCTCTCTCCCCCCCCCTCCCCAATTTCAGCAGCTATTTCCTCTCTTCAGCATCTTAGCGGGGGTTTCAAGCCGGGGAAAAAAAGCCAGACTTCTCTCCATGAAAAGGGCCAGTAGGAGGTGCACTTATTAAGGCCAAGTAGCCAGTCTGAGCTTGGCAAAATTCCCATTCAGCAGGGCATTTAAAGACTTTGTGGATGGGTAACAAAAGGCTTTCAGAGCTCCTGTACAATGCCGCTTTGTCCTCCCCCCCCCCCTTTTTCTTCTTCTTCTTCACTTTCCTGCTAAACGCACAACCCTCTTTGGAAATGTATTCCTTTCCCCCTCTTTAAACCTTCTTCCTGGAAACGCGCATTGCTCAGAGTTGACTTAGAAGGAAAAATAAATATACATGTTGTCGTTTTTTTTAAGGGGGGTGATTCGTTTTCATTTTTCCCCCCATTGTTCCCATGTGCCAAAATGTTGTGCGGGAGGAAATCTATCAAGCCGATGGTGAATGAGCTTCTGTTACTTGGAGGGGATGCAATGAGACTTAAATTTCTATTGCTTTTCCTTCCTATGGATATGTGTGTTGCAGGAGAGTGCGAGTGTGTCAGTGTGAAAGTCCTCCCCTTTCCCACTGTGAATAGGTTTGGGTGTGCTACTCTGCAGCTTGGAAATGATAATAATAATAAAACAAATCAGATCCAAGCTTCTATGGAGGGCACTTAATCCCATCATGTAATCATTGGTCTGAGCGTAATAGAATTCAAGTTTCAGGAATTACAGAGGGAAGTGACTGTGAAAGGACTCTTTTGTCTTGAAGTGGAAGAGAAAAGGACCTGCCCTCAGTCTTTCCACCTTTCCACTCCCTTCTTCACTCTTGCCTGTGGTGTGGAGTCAAGGAGTGGGATGGATCGGCTTGTCAGCATCTCCTAGCATCTGAATAGGAGAATGATTATATTCCTGGCAAGTGGTGCAGTATAAATCAATGGGGACCTGTCATAGCATCCATCCATTCCGAGGCGGTGGAGTTGCCCCCTGATCTCAGGGACTGCCACATGTGCATTTAGTTAAATTGGCTGGGAAGGCGCATGGTGCATAGAGGCAAAGCTATGATCATTGGGCCACATGGCTTCTACACCCAAAAGTATGGTTCCTTTGACCTGGGTTTGAGCTCTAGTTGAGATGAATGGATGGATCCCATGGGAGATGCCTCATTCTCTTCTTAGCCACAATTGTTGGTCTGTGCGTTTCATGGTGAGAGGGAGAATGGAAGACCCCAGAACAAATATTTGTGATAGGGTGAGCCAGATACTTCCAAATAACTTCACAGACAAGTATGAAACTGTTTCTGGAGAAGCTCCAGATCCTTCTGGAGTGGTAAACATTGTGTACGCTGAAATATTTCATATAAATTCACATGTAATTAATATATACTTCCTGTGGGGGTTGGGGAGAGGGACAATATAGTTTGAGTATTAAATCAATAACAACTTTGACACGAACCTAGTAAATTATACCTTGTTTTAGATGAATCATCATGGATGAATTGCAGAACATTTGTTAAAATTCTTTCCTCTCCTATTTCTTTGGCAGAGATAGTGCCTTTCAATGCTCAGGTCTTATGTTAACACTCTGTACTCAGAGAACTGAAATATTCATCAATATAGAATCATCAATAATTTTATCCTCATGTAAGATCACCTTCTTCCCAACAAAATGATGCTGCGACTATCAATCCCAGAAGCTCAACTAAGGTCTCTCAACGGATTTGGAGGATTTCAAAGTTTTTGTGGTGCATTTCTGTCTTTAGTTGTAGGGAAACCATGGGGAGTTTCAACTGAGTATGTCTTTTATAAAACTGCAACTGAAGATAGGGCTGCAACCACCGATGTCTAATTCACACATATATTTATCATCACTCAATATCTCATCACTTGGCAGCTTATCACTCAGTGTCTTTCAATGGAATGTGTGAATTACTTCCACCAAGAAATATTGAGTTTTGGGGTGAAATCAGGTGTGAACGATGTGCTTCTGTCTCTGGGCCTGTGGTGGTTGTTTCGCAAATTATTGCTCTAATGTTATAGGCATCACGGATTGAATGTGCTTGTGATAACTCAGCATGAGGTAGGAGAAGGGAAGTGTGAAGGAGAATCTGTACACGCAGTGGCTGTATGCTTGTCTTTTTCTATTTAGTCCCATAGATTGATTTGTTTTTCCAAAAATATCAACCAATGTGAATTTGATGACCGGCGCTGTCTTGCAACAATGTTTTAGAGGTGGCATCTTATCAGCCTTGTCCTTGTTTCCATTGTCAATAGACATTGTATTAAAGTTTGTAAATAAATGCACTTCATCACGCTTAATTTTGTCAATGAAACACTTTAATGGCTCTCTGATTCCCGCTAGTATTTTCATTCACGGTTGGTTCTACAGTGCTAGGCTAATAGACTCTACGCTTTCTGTTCCACGTTTGATCTGTATTACATGATATTCATTTATTTATTATACATCATATAATAGAAGTTGGCTGCTCCATTTCATAGTTCAAGAGACCACTTATCCACAAATCACGTCAGTTCTACTTTTCTGAAAATCCTTGATCTCAGGGAGATCTCTTTGAAGATTAGAACAGTGTCTTTTAAATAGAAATACGTAATAGTCAGTTATATTACCAAATGCCATTTTCTTCTCACTGTCTTTTGTCACACATGTTCCAAAAGAAAAATCTGTTGCTTGTACATTTGTATTTTTGAAGGATTATTAGGGGCTTTCCCCTCCCTCCCAATGAACTGCTAATAACAGCTCGGAGATTTGCAGACCCCCATCAAAGTATGACACTTCAGGTTTCATGGGACTTGAGACTGAACCCATAGGAGTCTCCTAGAAATAAGATACCTACAAGGACTCCTTGGTGCTTCTTTATTAACTGATTTAATAAGTCTAGTGTAGCATATTTATTATATTATACTGTATTATACTGCATTGTACAATATTGTACTGTATTATGCTATGCCATGCTATGCTGATAAGGGATGCGGTAGCTCAGTGGCTAAGACACTGAGCTTGTCAATCAGAAAGGTTGGCAGTTCGGCGGTTCGAATCCCTAGCACCGCCTAACAGAGTGAGCTCCCATTACTTGTCCCAGCTTCTGCCAACCTAGTAGTTTGAAAGCATGTAAAAATGCAAGTAGAAAATAGGAACCACCTATGGTAGAAAGGTAACAGCATTCCGTGCGCCTTTGGCATTTAGTCATACTGGCCACATGACATGGAGACGTCTTCGAACAGTGCTGGCTCTTCGGCTTTGAAACGGAGATGAGCACTGCCCACTAGAGTCGGGAACGACTAGCACATATGTGCGAGGGGAATCTTTACCTTTATGCTCTGCTCTGCTCTGCTCTGCTCTGCTCTGCTCTGCTCTGCTCTGCTATGCTATGCTATGCTATGCTATGCTATGCTGTGCTAGTATTAATTCACATTTGAAGCATTCTAGAACTACACTTGATTTCCAAGCTTCTGGCCCACCTTTAGACTTCAATAGATGATAACCTCCATATTTAGGATTTATAGTAATCAGATGAGGATTGACTCTGTTGAGAACGTATTTACAGAATATCAAATTCTAGAGTGCATGTTAGTCTAGGCCACCATGTTGGGTAGTTTCTGGTTCAGTGTAGGATGGCTAACCATTGTCAGAGGATGTTGCATGAACCAGGCCATCCCATTATGCCATGAGGTGATGTATTTTTTGAGGATATCGTATTATGTAATGCTAGCAACTGTGTTTTATTAACCTGGATTTAGAGTTGAGGTGTTGTGAGAATTCAATTTCCACCTAGTCTTAGCTAATGGACGATCCTGTGTGATTGGAAACTTGCAAAGATTTTGACTTCCAAGTTTTCTTTACTTGGAATCATAATCGCAACTTAAGTTTAAACGCACACGTCTAAATTCATACAAATGATCCGGTTTAATAGTCTTTCTTTGTCTCCAGAGGTATTCATGGTCAGGCGTTCTTTGAGAGCACACATTATTCAGTGTCACAACTGGTAACAATGACAATAGCACTAACAAAAGAAAGTCAAATTTGTCCTTCAGCCACGCATTGCTGTTAAATCCATTTCCTTTATTCAAGTTGACAAGAACCTAGGATTGATTCTACAGCTTTCAAGCAACAAGCATTCTCAAAGGTTGATCTTTTTCGCCCAAGCATCCCTGTGAATCATCACTTGATCTTTACAGGGCTACACCAAGAGGATTTGAATATGGAAACTTTCATAAGACTTTTAAAAGACATGGAGAGGACTGGGATATAGAGTAGAGACACATGAGCTCCCAAAGCGAGTTCCTACCGGTTCAGCCAAGTAGGTAATAACTCAGCCTGCCACGGCCCTGAACCGGTTCTATTGTCAGTGGCACCATCTTTATTTTTGGTTCTGCGCATGCGCAGAACAATCTTTATTGCAAAAATTTACATTTCTCCTCCCCCTTTCTAATGTTCTGCGCATGCGCAGACCTTTTTTGGTGCAAATGCGCCTGCACGCGGAGTATTTGCAGCCATTTTTTGCACACCGAACTGGCAGTAATGCCAGTAGCAACCCACCACTGATGTGCTCTTTCTCCCTTGTCTCATTCCCAATTTGGAACTCCTAGATCAGTAAAGGCTGACCTTTTCAGCACCAAGTAGTGAAACTGGAGCGTGCACACCAGCATGCCGGAACCCAGGGGAATACAGCTGGCCATGTGCACAGCCGCCATCTGCTCTTCTGGGGTCTAGCGTGTGCATACATGCCAGACAGCTGGTCTTTGAGACCAGCTGGCCGCCACACATACACATGCGGGAACCCAGAAGAGCAGCTAGTGATGTGTGCCCATAGAGAGGGCCCTGCATGCCACCTCTGGCATGCAGGACATGGGTTCACTATCACAGTCATAGATGTTTGCATTGGGGGTAAAAATCCATGGTCACAAATAGAAGATCCCCCATCTGTCTGGTGCCAGAGGTGGTATTCAGCCAGTTCGGGCGAACCAGTAGCTCCGACTATCAGCTGGCCGCGCCCACCTACTCTTGCTCTATCCTGTCCTTTATTCCCTGCTTTCCATCTCATCTCAATCACACGGCACAGCCGATTTCCCCCCTCCCAGCTGTTTTAATTACTGTTGCTGACTTGGAAGGTAAGCAGCTGAGCTTATAAATGCTCCCTTTTCAGTGCTGCACACCTGCGCAAAGCACATATGCGAGTGAAGCGCAGGCTCACTGAATTGGCAGCATCCCACCACTGTCCAGTGCTCATGTGCACCAGCCAGTTGCTCTCTTCCGGATTCTTGTGCATGTATGCATACCAGACAGCTGGTCTTTGAGACCAGCTGATCGCCACACATGTGCTTGCCAGAACCCATAACGGCAGCTAGTAATGATGCATGTGCCCACAGAGAGGGCTCTGCATGCCATCTCTGGCACGTGTGCCATAGATTCACCCTCACAGTCCTAGATCATTGCATTGGGGGAACAAAAATCCATAGTCACAAATAGAAGATCCTCCATCCAATAGAAATAGCATTTTCCTTGTTAAGTTCTGGGCGATAAATGGAGCTGAGGCCTGTGTGACTTCTAACAGGCAACTGTTGCTCCCGGGCTGGCACAGCTCCTTTCATAGGGAAACTGATCAGCACACAACCAATCAGGAGAGAGTACACCCCCTCTACAACAGAGGACCAGACTGAGAACTTCAACCTGACAACTACCGTATTAATCAGAGTATAAGACGCACTTTTTTCCCTCAAAAAAAGAGGCTGAAAATCTGGGTGCATCTTAGACACTGAATAAGCATTTTTTGCTTTCTGAAACCCCACCCCCTTCACCAAAATGGCTGTGCATAGCTTTTAGGAGGCTTTCAGAGAGCTCCTGGGGGCTGGGGAGGGCAGAAATGAGCAAAACAATGGGCCATTTTTTGCTCAAATTTGCTCAAATTTGCCCCACCCCACAGGAGCACTCTACAAACCTCCTAAAAGCTATTCATGCCCCCTCTTTTTTTAAAAGGCCAATTTTTGCGAAAATGGGCCATTTTTGGGAGGTTTGCAGAATGCTATATATATATATGTATATATGTATATGTATATATATATATATATATATATATATATATATATATATAT